ATGGGAGGCCACTTTAGCAAAAATATTATGTTCAACAAGATAAGGGATGTATATTTTTGGCCCCAAATATACATCGATATAAGAAGCTATGTTCAAAAATGCGAACGATGTCAGCAAAGAGAAAAAATTAAAATACCTAGACCCTTATGCCCCATCCCTGTGACTGCGCCATTCTATCAAGTTGGTGTCGACTTTGTTGACCCACTCCCAAGAACCCCAAGACAAAAACGTTACATTATTGTTACTGTAGACTACATGAAGAAGTGGTCTGAGGCCTTGGCCGTGGAGAAAGCTGATGCAAAGACCGTTGCAGATTTCTTGTACAATGAGATCGACTGTAGACATGGCTGCCTCGAACAAATATTGTCAGACCGTGGGACCCATTTTAATAATATCATGATTAAGGAGTTCATGAAGAACTTTGAAATCAATCACAAGCTCTCAACACCCTACCACCCACAGACTAACAGATTGGTAGAACAGTTTAACCAAACCCTGTGTGAAGCAATTACAAAACTCGTGGTGAATGTGCCTGATTGGGATTTGCTGATCCCCTCCATATTGTTCGCATACCGTACCTCCAAGAATTCTACGACCAAAATGTCCTCTTTTTATCTAGTTTATGGCCGAGAAGCCCATCAACCAATACACCCAATCAGAGCTGACTCACTTTTGAAAGGAACAATATTGCAAAGGACCTACAAATTGATTGACCATCTCCCATGCTTTAGAGATAAGGCTATGCAGAACATACAACAAACCCAGGCCCAACAGAAAGCCTATCATGATACTCACTACAAATTGACCCCTGGGTTCGATATTGGTGAAAAGGTGCTGTTGTATAAGGCCACGAAGGAACTGTCTAAAAGTGGCAAATTCGAGCCAAAGTGGTATGGCCTGTTCTATATTCATGACCGACTTCCAAATAATGCTTACAAATTGCGCACCATAAATGGAAAAGTATTGGTGGCCCCAATTAATACCAAATTATTAAAAAAATATTATGATTAAAAAAAAAAAAACTCCCACCTAACCATTGCACAAGTCGCTCTTGTATCCATTCCTGAACTTTGTCAAAATAAGCGTTAATCTAGTGGAAGTATGAAGGCCAAGAATAACAATATAAGAAAAAAAAAAAAAAAGAAGAGAAGAAAGAGAAAAGAGAGACCTTACCTACTGAACAAACCAAAGAAGCAAGCAATTGAAAGAATCGACCCAATTCCAAGCCACCTGGCGACCTTTTATTCGACGCCCTAAGTGTCTGGAGTCAATCAAATTAACACCTAGTGACTAACATGCGTGGTACGCATATGATAAGCACCGGAGAAATATCACGAGTGAAAATGCGCAGTGTCCGAAAGTTCCGTGATCAATGGTGCCGTACTCGATGACCATATCCCGAGAACCCGGTTGGATGCATGCATGCACTTATCCCACAATCGTACGAATTTTGACAGGGCGTATGTGCCAAAACGGGAATAAGTCGAAGAACCACGATACGGTTTCAGAATGGCGACATGGTGGACCAAAAGACGGTGCGAAAATGGACAAACAAACAAACAAAACAAACAAACAAAAAAAAAAAAAAAAAAAAAAAAAAGAAAGGGAAACGGATCATGTTAGTAATAGGACCTAAAAAGGGAAAATGCGAAAAAAAAAAAAAAAAATTGAAGATAAGATACTTACCCAATAGTGGCGCCAACACAATCTCATAAGGAAGAATGGTGGGAAATATGTTAGGAAGGCACCTAAAAATAGACAGTTAGTAAGCAGTACAAAAACATGTATAAAAGCAGTGAAAAGTTTTTT